CCCACCTCAAAGCTACCCATGCGTTGTTTAGGCGTCGAAATTGGAGCATGGATGCAGTAGAGACTTGCGGCTTTGTAATTAACCGACTGGCGATGTCTTCAACCACCAAAAGGCACACCCGACCTTACTCATTATAAAGCTTCCCAAGTCTGACGATTTCGTTCAAACTCCTTCGACCAACCAATTACGAGCACAAAGGAACTGTGAGCTGGCTACGCGAGGTCTTTGGCACCCATGCATACGCATGTCATAACACCTAATTTGCTCATATATATCACTCCCCATCGTCGTTAGTTCATCCACCTAGGGAGATTGAGGGAAGAAAGTGGAAATTGGATGAACTCGTGACTTGTAAGCACCGTGAAAGATGGTAGTGCAATTCGAGACTAATGGACGGATTGTGCTTCTGCATAAAAGTCACGAATAACCAAAACTGACTCAGAAGTTAGCGCATGCAACTCTGAGTGATAAACTACGCGTCTCCTAACACTGCGATTGGCTATTTTGAAAGCATCCGACATGCATCGATGTTCTCCTTCAGCCAATCAGACCTCGGCAGCTAAAGAGATAATCGATCAAAACCACTTTAATAGACAATTGGAAAGACAAACGGTATACTGTTTGGCATTTTTAAGTGCATGTTACATCTTGAGGTGAAATCAAATTTTTCTTGTATAATGGGGGACTTTTCGAACCTGCAGTTTTCTGCAGGAGATCCTAAATTTCTTCATGTCGATTAAATGATGTTAGCGCTTTGAAGGCAGGATTTCCACCGCGTAACTCTGATTCCCAGAATCATTCGTAGCAATTAACGTCTGGTCAGCAATTGGGACATGTGATAATTAATAGAGGCCAATAAACAAGCAAATCACACAAATTGTTAAAACATTTATGTGAAAGCGATGAAGTCGTTTTCTTGTACAAATGCTTTTGACTTGAAAAAGATAGCGCTTCCTTTAATTTGTTAGAGTATTATAAGTCCCTTACTTTTAAAGTAAACTTACGCTGTGGGATCTACAAGAGCATTCCTCAAGCTAATGGAATCGCATCGCTTAACATCAGTCCAGGACACCTGAGATTTGCTCCTTGGTAGTGTTTGCCGCCTACAGTTACCAGCAGTCAGTTTTTCATTCCACGAAGAATGTGGGCGAAATGCTCTAAATGCATCACTCTCCTCTCCAGCCCGCTTCAACACCGAGGCGCCAAGATCCTATAAATAGTGATAAAACGCAGAGCTTATTGTCAGTCCACTGACAACCACTTGCTCTATTGGAATGAGTAAGACAAATGTACCAACTTACAGGGCTTTCGGAGGACTCAGCCATTGCGAGAGAGTGCTGGCTATCAACGCGGCAAATGGTGATACGTTTAGGCGATTTTTGGTGACGATGGGCGAAAGGAACACTGCCAGCGCGTTGAGTTTCAACTGTTAAATAAAAAGACCAACGGAATGATAAATCAACTGCCAGGTGCCCGAGAAGGTGGTAAATTTTGATCTTCGATACAAGAACCTTTTGCAAAGAACTGTAGATAAGCAGTTCAAGTGGTATTTTGAAAGGAGTATAGCGACCACTCAAAAAACTACGCGAATCAGTCAAAATTGGTAAAATGAACTGACATGGAACCAATCAGGAGCTGAACAGGGAGACAAAGATCATCTTTGATAAAAATTTCGCACGATTGCAACAAATTCGTCTTATAATATTTAACATCGAAATCGAGCAATATTTAAAAATCAGGGTATCTACTTATTTAAAACGACGATTAATGTGTGAAGTTCGCCACAATTAGGTCATCTAGATTTGTAGCTATCAGCTCCACTTGTTTCATTAAAGGTCGACATTTTGAAGAACTAACTTCCTTCGCCTTGGTAGTCTTTTATAGGGACAGAAAATTGACAGGTACATCAAGCACTAGAGCAGAATTCAAATGACCTAAGCCTTCAATTGTTATTTTTTGCATCCTGAGCGATCGAAGCAGCAAAGGAACAAGTTGAGATCGATGAACAACCAATCGAAATCATAGATATCCCATTCAACCAATAGCAGCTAAGAACTAATAAATTTGAAGCTCCACTCACCAGACCGTTCTAATTGGACAGCTTTTGGAACATTAGCGCTTGCACTCGCACGCAATTCTTGACGTTTCACCTGCGAAAGTGCTTCCAATTGGTCCTTCGTTTCGTAGCTCAACCATCGTGAAAACGCATTACGACGCAGTGGCATATGCGATGTTCCGTAGGTCTAAGCAAACCGAGGCGTACCTTCACATCGGCTTTCAACCTCGTTACAGCAATCAATTTTGCAACTAGCTGAGTTTAGTACCTGAGCAATACGCTGGTTCCAAATACGCATTTGGGTTGCTTCTGACCCTCGACGCATGGGCATACTCTTGCAGACTCCAAGACTACGATTTTCAGTTCCTTCTTGGACGCCAGGAAATCCAACAGCCCCTTGTTGCAGGAGAGAAAGCTTAAAAGCATTGATTGCTTCCAGGTTGACTTTCCCTTGATTTTCACCCAGAAAGGTGTCGACCAACTGTTCGCAACAGCAAACACAATTTTTCCCCGGTTCTAAAAGAGAATGGAGCAAGATTCCTCAATTTTGTTTTCTGATTACCTTAAACAAATTGCCTGAACGGGAGCAGACCTACTCAATGACTGATACTCTTAATTTTACCCATATTTGCTCACCTTTGTCGAAAGAAAAGTGCTCTATTAACGAGGGGGCTGGTCTCAAAGGTAGTGAAAACCTTTTCTGGGTCGAAATCACCTGTATACCAGTGGCAAGGGTGTCCTGACGGGCCACACTTGGTCTTGCTTGTTGAGTTGTCGACTCCGGAAGCTCTGATTTAATGTGCTCCAAATTTCTTAGTTCACTGTGCTCATTTGCCATCTGACCTTCATGAGGTCCGACTCGCACTTGAGCGGGACAATCAGACTGGGGTGAAGTCGATGCGGAATTATACTAAAGTATCAATAGAGCCGGATAAGCACTACAATCAGGTTTTAAGCAATTCTGCCACCACACGACTCGTTTGTGCATTTGTATTAGTTAACATCCAGTGACGATTTCGAATCGTACAGCTCCTTCGTACCTCTGATCTATAGTTTGCCTGTTCTGGATAGCTTCCACCGAAGAGGGGATATGGTCTGTGCAAGGTCGCCATGTCCGCAGCACCGTCGGAAGAACGACGGGGAAAACTTGAAGAATCTAGATAAATACCATGAATCAGATCCTTTAAAAGCCCTTTTTGATGCACTGTTGCTAATTTTAACAAGCAAGCATGTAGTTAGTTGTGGAGGAAACGAAGTTATCTGAACGCTTAAAATGAAAATCGGGCTTTTTGGGCCGCTCATAAGTCTCTTATAGTAACGTCGGTATTATCCCACTTAAGGTATTTGAATTTCTCTGCGTAAGGACAAGATGATCCAAACTCACATGGAGTCATAAACTCCGGTGGAGCAAGAAGATTGGGGTCTTTGAAGGTGAATAGCGCAACTGGCTGATGACTCATTGAAGGAATACAAGCTGGGAGGTCAAGTTGTGGCAATGGCTCTCCCGTAGAACAATGAGGTAAGTTATTCCAACACGCTTCACTGATGCTGAACACTTCATTCAGCACTTTGGCCCCAACCTGTGTTGTAGGCTACAAACGATAGGTAAAACGGTCTAGTTGACTCGTATCCATACTTTTGTGCTTCAACTACTGCGATCGCAGAGTTGGCACATTTCCGTTCCGATAAGCTCCTAAGATGGCAGTAAAGTGGTGCCTTACGCCTGTCCTTCCAATCTTGGATTTATGACACTAAACAAACTGAAATGGTAAGCGAATTCGGTCTTCAGAGGACGAGATTTCAAAGTCGGCATTAGAGGACAGAACAAATTAGGGCGGAATAAATACGATGATGGTGGTGCCTTAAATTGTCGAGACCCTCATCAAACACGTGAAGTGCTCAAAAATGGCGTTCTGGAAGGGATGCCCTAACAAATGAAGAGTCGCCAGCTCCAGGAGCTTAGGTGTTGCAGCACTAGCGTTGAAACCAGGTCATCTCTTCGAAATGGGCTTAGCAACTGCAGTCGGAGCCTTGCGATGTAAAAGTAAATTAAATCCAATGATCTGTGTGTAATAAAAATCAGGAAGCTTCCAATAAGGGCAGAGAGTATCGCAGTCCAGCAAAAATTAATTCAGTCCGATAAAAAATATGCATGTAAATGAGATGTGATTTGAAAGAGGACTCGAAAATGCATTGCTATGAGCAATTGGGTTTGGCTTTAGACAAACAAATTATTTGAAACATACCATTGAGACTTTTGAAGAATCATAGATAGAGTGATCTAGGAAGGAGAAAAGATATCAAAGGTATAAAAATTCAACACTTGAAAGGACGACCAAGTGGATGAGTTACAAATTAGCAGTGCAGTCAGCAAAATAAGCATTAAAAGGGAATAATCCTCAATACCAGGAGTAACGTTGATTTGCAGACTCGGTGATTGCCTTGGCGGCTCTGCCAATTCCTCAAAATTTGTCTGCAGTGAGGACTTTTGGACAGGCGAATGGGTGTTTGCAGCCTCCTGACCCAGGTCTAGGGAGAGTTCCTTCACATCGGTGATATTAAATTTAGCTGTTGCCTCCGAAATGTTAACAAGAGGCAGCCAATGGAAATCGTCCTATAAAAGGAGCAAAACAGATTCACCAACATCACCATCAACGCAACCACCATTTGGAGATAGTTAAATTAACCGGTAAAAATACGAACAAATGACAAATGAGATGGGCAGACCTTGGTTCAACAGATTAACGCATTAAATGAGGTCTTCTCTATGGCTACAAATGGCAGCAAGCTAAC